TATATATATATATATATACATCTTTGCACACTTTGGAGAAAAAAGTTTAGTCGTAATCGTAAATGAGCGACGCTCATGCAAACTTGCATCTGGACGCAGTGTTGAATGCTGGTTCGACACAAAATTTAAGTGAAAAATCGCAGGGGACAGGTATTCTGCCAAAAAAAATTTTTTTAGTATTTTTGATTGGTACGATTGAAACACCGTTGTCTTCTTTCAATACTTGAGTACTTCAATACTTTTACCATATTTTTATTTATTGTTTTTGTTTTGATATTTCAGTTGTCGATGGTGAGATTACACATGTCAGTCATTTGGCTGAAAATGTTGGAGCTCTATGTATGGAAGACGATTGTTGCGACGTAAGGTTGAAAGTAGGGTTCTGCTTTTTTTCTCTTTCCTTCTGTTAAAATGTGATCTATAAACATCTGTTCACAGCTTTTTTTTCTATTTAGGTGGAAGGCACACTGATCCCCGCTCATAGAGTAATTCTTGGCGCACGTAGCGAGTACTTTAGGTTTGGTTTTTTCCTTTACTTCCGACTTCCTTATAAAAACTTTTTGTTTTAAAACTTTGAAACTGCTGATTTGAATAAATATGGAATTATTTGCAGAGCACTCCTGTATAATGGTATGAAAGAGACGAAGGACACAGAGATAGAATTGATTGATACTCCCTTAACAGCTTTTAAGCTTCTTTTAAGGCGAGTTGCATTTTGTCCTCTATCTTAGAGTTGTTACTGTTTTATCTGTCCCAATCCTTAGAGCTTTTCTCGCAGTTCCAAGTTTTCTTCGTCTTTTTGTCTCCATTGTTTTGAAACATGTTTCTTTTACTTCTTTTTGTTACATACTTCGTTATTCTATCTGTAACTCAGGAGCATTTGTTGTCGCATCAAGATTCGTCTTTGTGTCATAAATATAAAATTAATAGTGCGGTAAATTGGTTGGTTTGAGGTCTGTTGTACTTCAAGAGATGTGTTTTCTTAATATTTTTATATTTGGGTTTTTATGTTGAAATGAAGTTTTTTTAAGGTATGTTTACACGGGGAAGATGTCGCTTCGTTTGTTAAAGGAAGATTTACTTCTGGATGTGTTGGGTCTAGCGCACAAATATGACTTTGGCGATTTAGAACGAAGCATTTCGGACTATTTGAAAGTGAGTGTTGGTTGTTGTCTTCAAAATTTTTGTATAAAAATAAGTTCTTTCGACAGCAGGTCATCTATTATTTTTAACAGTTCAGCCGTTGGTTAATTGTTAGTTTTAACACTCTTCGTTTTTTCCGCAACCTGCATAATTTCAGGCCATCCTTGATGTTTCAAACATTTGCATCGTATATGGCACAGCACATGTGTATTTTCTGAATGCCTTGAGTGATTTTTGTTTAAATTTTGCTGATAGGCGTGCGAGTGAAGTCATCGCGACGCAGGTTTTAGTTTCTTTCTTATTATACCATTACTTATTGTAAGATAGTTTTTTCATCTTCTGAACCTCAATTACTGATAAGTGTGCTCTTATTCTGTTTTAACTTTGAGTTCCTCAGGGCTTTCTTCAATTGCCTGCTAGTGCCGTTGTCGAAATGATTCAACGGGATTCTTTTTGTGCTCCAGAAATTGAAATTTTCAAGGCAATTCGTGAATGGATTGTGGTTCACCCTGGAATGGTGAGTTAAATGAGATTGGCTTTTTGCATTTTGGTTTTTATAATTCGCGTCTGGTTATTATAGTATATGTATTTGAGGAGAGTGAAGCTGAATTGATAGTATCTAAGTTGCGTCTTCCTTTAATAAACCTCTCCGATTTAATCAATGTTGTGCGTCCATCTGGGCTTATATCCGCAGATAGCATTTTAGATGCCATTAAAGAGCAGCAGGAAAGAAAAAGTGTAGAACTTATGTCTCGAGGCTTTTTACGTAAGTTTGCAAGTGCCACTTTCTCAACCATCTTACAGTTTTTGAGTGTTCTAAGGTGCGAAGACTTTGGCCTGTTGTTTGAATCCGTTGTTTTTATGGCAATTGATATCCGGTTTAGTACTGTTTACTCTGCTCTTTCTTTATGTGAATATTTCGTTTAGTGCCAAATGTTAACGTTGCAACTCCAGCCTATAATGCAGTTGTTATTAGTGGTGATGGAGCAAATCTTTTGGCTGATGACGCGTATCGATATGATATGGAAAGGAGTTTCATGTCACATACTATAGGTGGAAAGGCTAGAGGGATTGTTGTTGAGGTTTTGTAATCAGAGCTGTTGTTTTTATACTGTAGAAGAAGTTTTCGTTCTTTCAATCACTGAGTAACTTTTGTGTTGATACATCCATTCCTTTTAGCTTGGAAGACCCTTCACTATTAATCATCTTCGACTTTTGTTGTGCGACCGTGACCAAAGAGCCTATCATTATTATGTTGAAGTATGCATATTATTCGGACAAGGATTTCTTAAAATATTGTAGTTCATAGACTTACTGTGCTATTTCTTGCAGTCGGCAGTGTGAGTTCTCACAAAAGTTTCTGTATTTCTTTAGTTAAAAGTTTTTGAATTCAAGGTTAGCATGAATGGGAAGGATTGGGTTCGTGTTGTTGATCATACGAAGTATCTTTGTCGCTCGATGCAGCGGCTTTGCTTTTCTCCACGTGTGATAAAGTAAGCAGTGTAATTGGGTTCCATATTTTGAAGCTTTCTTGTTTAAAATTAATATTGACAATTACAAGTTTAATGCTATTATTCCGTAACAGATTTATCAAGGTCATGGGGACTTACAATACAGTTGGCAACACATTCAACTTGGTAAGCATGGAGGCCATGTATTCCACCGAATCTAATGACCAGTTTGAAATAGATCCTGTTTCAACTCTGCTTAGTAATTTTTTAGTACTTTTTGTTACAAAGATTGCTTTCATTCATTGGTAGTTACTCTTAAAAGAAGTTTGGGAGGCTATTATGGCTAAAACAGGATTTTAATAGATAAAAATTGTTTGAATCTCTTAGCTTACGTTATTCTATAATCCTCACGGCACACTATCTTTCCTTTTTATTGACTACTCACATCAAAAGGTTTTTTATTTCTCATTCCGCATTACTGCAAATGTAATTTTTTTAGTACCTTCATCGAATGTCGCTACCATTGCGAACAATGCGATAGTAATCGAAGGAGTTTCCAGAAGTCGAGATGCATTACTTAATGGTGAAACAACAAACTACGATTGGGACAACGGCTACACTTGTCATCAGCTTGGTTCTGGTGCTATAATGGTCCAATTGCCGCAGCCATATCTCATTGGTTCGATGCGGTAAGAATTAGTTGCAAAATTTTGGCTTTTGAAATCATGCCATTAGCAAATGTAACATATCTTTAATATTTTTTCAAGTCTGCTATTGTGGGACTGCGATGATCGCCATTATTCGTACTATATTGATGTTTCTTGCGACAAAAACTCTTGGTTGCGTGTTGCAGATCGTACTGCGGTACAATGCAAGTATGTGTGCTGATGATTTCTTGCATTGTTTTTTTTCATTACTTTTTTAAATGAGTTTTCGATAGAAAATTCAAATAATTCGGGTTATTAAGGGCTTGGCAATACATACGGTTTGAAAGATGTCCTGTGGTATTTATACGCATCGTCGGCACGTATAATTCAGGTCGGCTTTTCAGACATTCTGAAGCTCTGAGTATGACATGATAGGCTTCCTTTGTAGAACGGTATTTTATTGTGATAATCATTTCATGCTGTATTCGTTTTAAAATCTTTTTATCTTATCATCACCTGCCAAAATAAATCTGCTTTATGGTTTAGCCAATGAAGTTTTCCATTGCGTTCATTTTGAATGCTCTGGGAAATCGCTTACTTCATCAACAAGTTCTTTTGGCAATGAGCGCAACGTCGAGTTAGTTGATAATCTGGAAAGCCGTCTACATCAACTAGCCCTTTTAGGGAGTGAAGTCAAACTTCCATCGTCACCAGACGTTCTGAAGTAAAAATTTCTTTACATTATCTGTTTGGCTTTTACTAGTTGGATTTCTTGAGCTGCCTTAATTAAATTTCTTTCTTAGTCTTGATTTGGCACTATTTTCACTTTTCAGAAATTGATGAGAAATTCCATATGCATGGTGCAATACTTACAAACGGAAAGGATGAAAAAGTGATTTATTAATTAATTGTAGGTCAAAAATTTTTTTCAAGACTTTTAGCATTTTTATTCTTCTCGTTTCCTTGTTAATGCTGACAGGTCTTATTATACTTTTGCTATAATTTTTAATTATTTTTGGTTCATTACTGGAAAATATAAATGCGAGGTACAGTCTCCTCTTCATTATAAAATCTGGTATTCTGGAGACGAATTGTTGTTTGTTTGGCTATTTATTGATTGTTTATTTCTCTTTCT